TCAAAGTTTCATTGGTCCAATGTGACCTGTTCAGTAATTTCATTGGTCAGATTTTTTTTACCTTTATTAATACAAATAGTCCCATTGAGTCACGATGACCTTGAGCTGTGATTTTTGGCCCAAGCCCCCAGCCCGACCTGACCCAAAATATGGACCAGGTCGGGCCAAAATCATGTGCTTGACGGGCGGGCTGGGTTGATCTTGTGCGTTTGATGCAGTTTTACGAATCAAACAGCACAAAGAAAACTAAATAAAAATGCATGATGTAAAATTGTGTTAATCTACTTGTTGAGGAAGAGGCAGTAAGTTTATATGATGAGGATGAGAAAGAAATAAAGAGTGCAGAAGTTAATCAGACTGTGAAAAGAAAGAGTAGTGCTGGTGCATTGCGTAACAATTGTGCATGTGGCCCCGCCCACCCTTTGCTCTTATCACACATCTGAGTATTTGCAATTGACCCACAACAAGCGACATAAGGGAGCTGGAAAGTATTAAACAAAAGCTAAAAATGGGAGAACTCACTCTGCAAAGCCAGCACAGTGAAACCTACTGATGTGTGTCAGGTCAGGTATCAGGTAAAAAAAAAAAAAAAGTTGTGTTAAGCTTCAAATGAACAACCGGATCATCGGCCGCGCGCGTCCACTGACCAGCCAGTTGAAATAGTTTTAAAAAGTTGTGTTAAACTTCAGATGGACAACCGGATCAGCATCAAAAAAATTGTGGGTGGGGTAGGTGAAGCACCCACACTTGCCCCCATCCTCATTCGCCCCACCCTGGGCCCATGAGCAAGGCCCTTAACCCCCCATCTGCTCCCTAAACAGGTCTCTTTTGAAAATGAGTTCTCGTGGCTCAATGAGAGTACCTGTATAAATAAAGGGTAAATGGAAAAACAAACAAACATGAGAGTATGTTAATTTGAAACTCGAACATAGAAGTCAGCGGGCAATGATTTAAGGAATGCTAGGCCTTTCGATTTCCAAGTTTTGTTTCTGAGAGCCTAATCTCCTGACTCACAACAATTTTCTTGGTCTGTTATAAATACCATATTCACCACATGGGAGAAGTAAAAGAAAACAAGTCTTTAGATGCCACCCTTTAAAGCAATCCGACATAATATGAGCCTAACTCCTAACAGAACTAGACAAATTACCAAATAACAGCTCTGTCGCATTGTATTGTTGCTTCGCTCTTCTCTCCCACCTCACTGCATTTATCTGCACGTTATGTGGCTGTGTAATTTAAACAGTGCGACTATGACATGCTGGCATTGTTTTGCCGGGCAGAGGAGTCAGCAAGGCCTGCAAGTCTTTCTTGAGGTTCTTGGGGAATACCACATCCACCCCACTGAATAACAAGACCAGACAAAGTATGTGAACAATGCCCAAACAGGTCACGTTACAAGCAAAACAATCATTCAACACCATTGGAGCACATTGCAAAAGACATTAAATGTGGATGGTTGTAGGGGGCAAAGTGGCTTTTGCATAAACAATAATATCATAATTTCTTTATTTTTCTGTATTTCAAAAGGTTTGCAGGATTGGAATGCCATAGGAGTTGCTCATTTTGTCTCACTTTGTTTTGTGGTTTCCTCTTTTTTGTCATTCTGATGTTTTTACAGTGGTTACTCTTTGGAAATACTGCTGAAAGCTTACAGTTTTTCTTTACCGGTTATAAATATTTCTCAATACTTAATTCACTTTTTCAAAACTTCTCCGAGAGTAGGAAAAACAGTTAATGTGGACCAAAACATGAGCCTTTCGCCCAATCTACAGCCCAATCTTTACCACAAATTGCTCAATATTTATGGCATCATGTAATGGGAACTAGTTGACAATATTAGAAGTTTTGTACAAGCACTTGTACAAAAGTCCTTTACTGTACACCTAAACAGAATTAGTCAAACTAGGGGTATAGTTTAACGTTTGTTCTCTTCTAAACGGTTACAAAAATTTAGTGTATTGTGGAATTTTTTAAATTTTTTTTAACACTTCATGCATATTTAACCTGTTTTCGATGAAGTAAAATCACCAAAAACTGGACTTGGAAAACAAGAGTTGGTGAACATTATGTGCTTGTCAATGTCAATGTCAATTTATTTATATAGCACATAAAAACAACAAAAGCTGACCAAAGTGCTTTACAGTTAAGACAGATTAAATAATTAAAAAAAAGAGTAAAAATGCATCTAGTGCCACTATTTGACACACACACATTTGACAATAACACTTTAAAGCCAGAGCATGTGCACAGAAAGCTACTAGTGAAAGGGTGTTGGCAAGAATACTCTCATTCAATTAAAAAAGGCATGGCAAAACATGTTAACTGTTTCAGCTTATGCAAATAGTTTCAAAAAATTAAAAATAAGAGTGATGAAACACAATTTTATCTCCCATTTTTTAATGTCCATCAGTATATAGTTTATTTTTTTCTCCTAATTCAATAGAATTGGTTAGCAAAGAGATTCAAAGTCATTCACTTTGCACTTTTGTTTATTGTGTAAATTCATCAGCCAATGTTGATGCAACTGCATACAATTTAGATTTATTGTGATGAAAGTGTAAAAGACTGTTCAGACAATAATGCTAGGCTTGATGACTTTAACAGAAAGTGACCAGAAATTTTATCAGACATGAAGCTGACGTGTCAACAGAGTGATGGGAAAGATTATCAATCTGAAAGTGACATTTGATGTTGTGTATGTAAAAAAAAATACAAAATAAATTTGAGCAACAGTGACATGTTAAGTGCAACCATCAGACACGAGCAACAAACAACTGCAACAACATCAATAAGATTAGCAGCAACCAACCCCCTCTCTTCCTCCATATTACTTTTTTTCTTTTTTAGATTCAGGATGGTCAGTTCCTCCTTGTACTTTTTCATAATCAGAAATAGACAGATTGACATTTTCAAAAGGACATGTAAAGGTCATTTGTTTGCTGTTCTTTGCTGTGTGGTCCTACATTACTTAAGATGTGCTGTGTTTTTTCTGGGTGCCTCATCCCCTCTTGGAATGTCTTGAACTGTTTGCTGTGGTATCTTATCAGGTACTTAGTAGTTCTGAAGTCTATCATGCAACCCAAAACATCCAGAGGTTTGACATTTGCAGAGAGACAGACTTCGTCCTTGTGAAGTTCTTAGAGTCATGCCAGATTCTGCCTTTATTCCCTTTACATTTGCTATTGTTGTGTTGGTGAAATCATTTCAACATGATTAAATTATCACCCATTGTTTACAAGATATATATTTTTTCCATTGAATTCAATTTTCATTTATACAAGTTACTCGCATTGATCCACCAGGACTAATTTACAAGGGAGACCTTAGACAGACAACAATAAAACTAGAATAAAAATGCAATCAAACAAGTAGTGTATAAAACAATAAATCTGTAAAATCTCTATACTGTGAAACAAGGTAAAATATTAAAAATAAGAACATAATACATGCATATTTATGTGGTTATCAATGGTGGCTGATGGAGTTTTCATTGGGGGGGGGGGGGGTATAACTCCAAAATAGTCATATATATCATTATCCAGATGCAGATGCAGATGTTCAGAAATAGTAAAACAATACCAGTGTGACATTTAGTATACAAAAATTTTATGTCTGTGATGGATTTGTGACCCGTTCAGGGTGTACCCCGCCCCTTGCACAGTGATTGTCGGACATGGGCACCGGCGACCCCCGTGACCCAAAATGGAAGAAGCGGGTAAAAGATAATGGATGGATGGATGGATTAAGTATTAATGTTTGATAATTGTTTTTTTCTATGAGCACATTCAAATAAATGTAGCAATACAATAGCACTGATTTAGCACAGAGACCAATACAATAACCTGAAGGCTAGCACTAGCATGCTAGCTCCAGAAACAAACAAACAAACAAACAAACAATTTCACCAGTTCCCACTTTTAGAATACACAGTCAGCTGAATGTTTTTTCACAAACACATCTAAAAGTTGAGAGACATATCAGTCAGAAATGGCAACATAGGCATTAGATAAAGGGTTTTCAATGGCTTAAAGCCTACTTGCAACATAGCCTGGTTGTGAGTGTCACTGCACAATCTGTTCCGGGACCCCCCAAAAAAATCTGTTCCAGGACCGAAAAAAAATCTGTTCCAGGACCGGAAGCACGATCCGTACAGTGTGCCATACTCTGGGCGCAGGAGAGGAGCGCCCAGAATAGTCCTGTATCTTGTAATGAAGAGTAGCTAACAGCGCATGTACAACTTTTAACGAGCCTATGGGCAAAGATTCTTGTGCCCCCAGGGTGGAAATACGTCATCAATCAGAGACAACGTTTTTGAAAGAAAGAACTTTACTCATCGTTAACTATAAAATATTTATGTTGCACAACTAAAAAATATATGTAAATATATTTTAAAATATTTTTATTTTATTATTTAATTTTTATCAATTTTTTATATCTTCAAGGTAATATAGTGAGTGGTGTGAGTGGTGGGGTGGCACCCTAACGCCCTCTATTGGCCAGCCACCACTAGTAGCTACGCCACTGTCACATTTGAACAAACAGTAATCTTAATGCAAGACATATTTCTCATGAATTATGTAACTCTTAAAACCATTTTCCAAATATTTTGATGATGTGAACAATGTAAATTTGAATATAAAGTTGATTTGTTGTTAATTTTTTTTTAAGTAATGAAGACTTTATGATAAATGATTTTCTGCCCAGCTCTGTTTGAAAAGCTCATTTTAACTGAGCAACATGTTTGTGTTTGTCCCCTTTACAAACCTGATTGAATATAATTAACAAATTAACTTTACCTATGTCTGAATACCTGACTTCCACTGTCTTAATTAATAATTTGGAATATGTCGTGTCTGAAAATGGGGCTTTCTTGAAGTGATTAAAAAAGAAGCTTTAAATGATTTGCTTCTATTAAATTATTTTCATTAGCCTATTTTACTTGTCCAGTTGGATTAATAACTTGATTCACAAATATAATATTTTTGGGTCATTTTTAGGTTCACCCTGCATGCAGTGGATAACCGAGGTAGTCATACTGAGTCAAGCTTTGTCTCCGTGCGCACATCCTGTCCAGTGGTGGATGACAGTCGTGCTGAAGGTACCTGTCCCTCTTATCAGTCCAGCATGTGTTTTTGTTTTCATGTTTTAGGATTAATTACCACCTGCTTCCTTAATCCTGATATCGTTTCACATTGCCACAATTTATATACTTTCCTGAACGCATACTCTCGCAAGTTTTTGCAAATTTCTGTAATCTTCTTATTCTGTGAACAATCCAATTCATGCAGTGTGCATTTCCAAAACAATGTTTTATTATTCTCCTCTTTACTACACACTTGCACACGGTTACAGGAATGTAACAAAAAAATGTTTTTTTATGCTCCAGCTGTATCCTATAATATACAGAGAATAAGATCTACAGGCATGGCACCTAGAACGTCACATTTTTTACCTTTTGAAGATTTAATTTTAGAGCATTAGTCAGTTTGTTTGAACACTAACTTTAAGGCATTCCTATAACACAGCTTAATAAAAAGTAACTGCATTCTAAAGAGTTATTTTTATCTCTCTGTACCTCTCTTCTTTCTACCTTTTCTTCCTGACAGAAATAGCAGACAGGGTGTACAACTTGTACAATGGCTACACCAGTGGAAAGGAACAGCAGATGGCCTACAATATGCTGATGGAAATTCCTCCTCCGATGCTTTATAGAGTCCAGCATCACTACGATTCCCACTATGAGAAGTTTGGAGACTTCGTGTGGCGTAGTGAAGACGAGCTGGGCCCCAGGTGAGGAAGCAGCATCCCTTCTGTAGAAGGAGCTTAAATTCTGTGGTATATTTACAACTACCTAAGAATGTGATGGGTTCAAGTTGAGCTCTTTTTTTGGACAATGTTGTATTTTTTTCCTTAATATGATGATATTTAACTAAGCCTTTCTGTCATGTTGGACGACATTGAGTTGTTTATGTTCTGTAGTCCTCACCTTGAGGTTTCTTACATAACAGACAAATCTGACTTAACTTGCTGCCAGATTCAAATCATTCACCCATTCCTCTTGGCATCGCTTTCCTTGCAATTGTCCAGGAGCACTATTGTGCAATGCTCACAGTTCCAAAACTACTTCTTCTGGAAGGGCAAGGTCACCATTAAGACTCTGGGGTAACAGTCGCTCCACACATCACCATGGCAATGCCAAAACAGGATTTGACAGCCAAGCCAAATAGTAAATGTGATACTCAGCTAACACTAACTTAACTTCCAAGTCCATTTCCTCTCCTTTCTCATAAAAAAAGCTAATCTGTAATCATAATATAACACCCCAACATCCCATCACCCATGACCTCCCGAACAGGGACACCCTTATTGATAGTTTGAGCAGACTGAGACATTACAACACTGTGAGAACAAATAGAGGCCGACTGACAAATACAACTTTGAAGAAGGAAGCATAAACAGTGATTTAAAACAAATGTTTCGAACAAAAACATCTATGCGTGTGAGTCTGTGTGAGTTGCTCCAGCGCTGATGATAGCAACACAAAATCTTAAGTTACAGCCCAATGTTTTGGTTTGTCCACCCCCACTGCCTGGAAGCATTCTTTCAAGCTATAAATAATATAATAATTGAGGAATGATTTTGGTCTGTAGGAAGTTTATGCTTCTCTCTGATTGGCGACGGGGGTGGGAGACACAAGTTGGCCATTGGAAAGTGGGAATATGGATTAGACTTGTTGGATGGTGTGTAGTTGTATGTGTGTGGGCAACTTCAAGAAGGTGAAATCATGCGGGGGGGGGGGGGGGGTGGCATTTGGATGAGCGAGTGTGGATTATTTACTGCCTCAAGTTGGCAGGGCTTAGCCTCGTTGCGGTAATTTACAAGAAGTCTCCTTTGGTGGTGCCTTTTAAAAGGTATAAGGAATGGCCAAGAGAAACGTAAGCACAATCAGCTCTCCTGCAGGAGTTGAGAATCCCATGATACCCCCACACGTCCACCATTGTTACAGCTAAATACCTATATTGTGATTTACACATGCTGTGGTACATAGTCAATGTTTTTTAATTAATTTATTTTATTTTATGATGAACACCTATTTCCACACCAGTCTTCCTGAACTTCTTTTTAATTGCTGTCTGGAAATTCCGTTTAAACACTTATTCAGAATTCAGTTAAGCAGAGTTTCCTATAAATTGTGCTTCAAAATACTCATCTTCAGTTTTTGCTCTTTAATATCCTGGCGATGTTTTTGCTTGTCATCAGTCATATTAAATAATTTTAAACTGGCATTCTGTTGTTTCAGATGGAAGAGTTTAGCAAAATTATAAGTATAAGTCCCACACACCCTCCCACCCATTTTAGCAAATAAGTGAAAAGGATGCCTGTACTGTTTGCTTTAACTAAAGACAGATGTTGATGCTCGGCTACTTTTCAAAATAAATGGAATTTAGCATTTCTTTCTGTTTTTGCCATCCTAAATCTCCACATGAACTTACAATCCTAGCACAAATAACGTGTTTATTTATATTGGTGTAGTGTGTTTGTGTGTTATCCTTTATAAATTCTCTACATTTGACATATAGATCTTAGATGTAGTAAAGCTCAGCTCCAGACTTAAGAGCCAGAGACAAAAAAAGTTTGTTTCACTTATCCTGACAGCTGCCTCTGGTGTTGTGTTAAAGAGAACGACTGCCTGAATATGTGCATGTTCTGTTTTTGATCCAGACTGGCAGTCCTGTCAGAATGACAAAAAACACAACGTTTCAGTTACTTGAATTGTGGTTAACAGACATCCAACATTTTCATTCTTCTGCTGGTTTACTTCCACGTTAATAGACTAAAAGCATAATCGACAACTGATGCATTTAACAGATGTTGTAGCTTGTGAATCACTTGTTTTTTTTATCTGTAATATCTTGTAGTTTGATATGAATTTGCATTCACAACATTTTATTGGTGGTATTAAGGACTTCTGTTGTCCCATGCAGATTACTTTTGTTCAGTTTACAAAGTAACATCTGTCTGGGATCATCAGTTTGACAAAAGTAATAGAATTAATTATTCTCTACTTTCCATTTACAGGGGATTGAAACTGCCAAAAGTATTAAAAGAAACAAATATACATGTTTTGTGATTTATTTATTTATGTATTATTATTATCTAATTGTATTAGAATAGACAGGCAGCAGACAGGCAGTCTTTTAAGGCATGGAAACAGAACTTTTAAAAATAAAATACAAAAAATAAAATTCTAAAATTAAAAAAAATGATATGTAGGAAGATTCTGTGTATAACATATTTAATTTTTGCCCCAAACTAATGCATTTTGCCTCTGGAAGCAGAACCACATCTGCCAGTGAACACTCATGTGAAGTTAAAATTGGGGGCAGAGGTGAAAAAAAAATAATAACAAAAGAGATTTTATTGTGAAACTGTGACATGTTTGAATGAACTGACATCTTTGCTTTCTCTCCAATAGAAAAGCCAGTTTAATACTTCGAAGGGTGGAGACCATCAGCCTGTATTGCCGGTCCCTCCTCCGCAGCACCCATATTCAAAGCCGCACAGACACCATGGCTTATATCTACTGCCGGAGCGAAGAGAGTCGACCTCCCAGCAGCACGTGGCATAGCTCTTTACATGACAGTCGCACCTCATGCATGGAAAAGCTCGTTTCTGTGCAACGCAACACTTACAGCAACACCAAACTTCGATGAGAGATGAAATCAGCAGTGCTTTCCTGCAAAATGACATCAATGATTGATAAACTTCTTCTCTGCATCAAGTGTCTCTCATGTGACTGGTGCATTTTAAAAACCAAGAGAGGCGTAAATGGAGAACTTTAAAACTCGCTGGACATCGTGTTGAAGCTACCAAAAAACGTTGTTTTTGCGTGGCCAACTTTTATTATATAGTGAAGATGACTGGAAAATCTCTAGAGTGGACCTGGTTCTCACGACCAAATGCCAGTGATTTTGCATATCATTGAGATACTGCAGTGTAAACATGTAAAAAAAATGTATTTCAGTCCAAAAAAAAAACTTTGCTTAAATACTTTGAATGTAAAAATGTAGTTCATTTTTGGTGCTTACCTTCAACACTGATAAAATAACAATAAAAAGGAAAGTATTAGAGCTATAAATTATTTGCCTTTGCTATGAATGGAGAAACAAAGTTTTGTCAAAGCCATTTCAGAAATCACTGACTTGTTTTCAAGTTTGCGTTAATTTATAAAAAAAAATAAGCATCAGTAATTAAAAACCAGTAAGTGATGCAATGTGTTGCTGGAATTCTGCAACATCCAGACGTTTAATTTCAAACAGAAAGCCTTTGTGTGGTAGCAGGACTGAAAAGAAGAACTTATGCAAAGACAGAAAAGAAGTTGACTTTAAACATCACATAGTGGGTATTTTAATAAAGCTTTGATTAAAATACAGATGTATAATAATCATTGGTTATGATTATTCTGGTTATTGGTTATTATAATCCATATTCTTTTTATTTCTAAAGTACGCAAAAAAAAACTTCACAATGCAATGATGATGTAATGAATGTTTTTCATACTTTAATCTGTTAATTCAAATTATATGTTCTGCACTAATGATAAATGTTAAATCAGATCTGGATCAGCTTGCAATCTACTTAAAATGGTAAAAGGCTTACACCATAAGTCGTCATGATTTAATTTGATCTCTACAATGGAAATACATGTAAAGTTTTTAAATGAATTTATTGTGTCAGATTTGATTTCAAATTTTTCAAATGTTGAATGTTGCTGCCTATTTTTTTAACATAATAGCAATTTTAAATAAATTACAGGCAGCTTCAAGAGTCTTTCTCAGTCCAACCGTAAACATAAATTATTGGTAACACTTCATGAAATGAAAAATTCTCATTGTAGAGATGGCACGGGGTACTTTTCGTTTTATTTGTCAGTTACCTTCTGACATCTTCAAAAGCCATTAATATTCCTATAATGTAAACAAATAATGTCTTTTTTTTCCAAATATGTTAATTTTATGCTATAAATTGTAAAAATAAATAATTATATTGTAAATATAATCTGTGTTACCATCTGTTTTTTTTTATTATATATATATATATATATATATATATATATATATATATATATA